GGTCCCATTAGCTGCATTTTCGAACAATCGGATCTTATAAACGGACTGATTAAATACAGGCGCGTTATCATTCACATCCAGCACCGTGATCACCAGCTGAACTGTGCCGGTGAGCTCCGGTTTGCCCCCATCAGTTGAGATGAGTAATAAATAATGCACGGGCGTTTCCTCTCTGTTGAGGGATTTCTTTAATACAAGGACTAAACCGTCACTGTGTTCGTGGTTCTTTTGCAAGTCTAGAGTGAAATGTTCACTTGAGCTGAGTTTATAGGTTAGCAATGAGTTTGTACCAATATCTGCGTCAGACGCGCCCTCTAGTGGGAAACGCGAACCTGGAAGAGTTAGTGATTCTGCTATCCTCAGGTTTTGTTTATTTACCGAGAAAACAGGAGCATTGTCGTTTATATCCTGTACCTCCACTTCCACGTGAAATATCCTCAGGGGTTTGTCCACTATCACCTCCAGGTCAATGGCGCACAGGGGGCTCTGGCCGCACAGCTCTTCCCTGTCTACTCGTGAATTAACAAACAAAACGCCGTTCTGCAAATTTACCTCAAAATAGTCTCTCCTGCCGTTGGAGACCAACCGGAACATCCGAGGCACCAGCTCCGCCACCTCCAGCCCCAGGTCCTGGGCCAGGCGGCCCACAAAGGTGCCGTGTTTGGATTCCTCCGGCACGGAATAACGGACCTGGCCGCTGCCCACCTCCCAGGCCGTGTGTAACAGAACCAACCGCAGCAGCTGCCTGGTTACCAGGGAGTCTCGCCGGAGAAGAGCCATTGCGGACTCCTTAGAAATCAGTGTTTTCACTGAGCGAACGCGCAGAATCCAGGGAATGAGGAGGATGCGTTGCAGGTTTGAAAACCGTTTTATTAAATGCAGTTATTACATCCGGGAGTCTGCCTGATGCGCTGAAAGGCAGGATTTTCAGAGCTTCTGAAGGAGGAGCTGTATGTTTTCTCCTGTTTACGTGTCTTTTTAGCCGACAGCGACATCTTGTGTCTCAGACCCTTCTGTAGTTTATATCTTCCAAACTACGTCTTCTTTAATCCAGAGAGTTCAAGCATACGGTTTTTTCATCTTCTCTTCCTCCCCCTTTCTCTCCGCCCGCCGAGCTATCAGGGAAGATATGCCTTCGAACGTTATGTCGTTCCGTGCTCATGATAGGAGATAATATTTGGCAACAGACGGAAATTTTCTAATTTTGCCTCTATAGCTGAACCACCAAAAGAAGTCTGGGGTTCCTTACCTATAGAAAGATGTTTTAATCTTTTCCCTTTCAGATCTTTAAAGATTTCATCACTTGATCCTGCACTACAGTCTAATGCACTTCCACTGACACACACGCGTCTACATCTTAATATCTCTATATCTTATATTTATCTTACAGAGATACATAGCTACCGTTATCTCCGACTCGGACAGACCGCAACATATTGAAAGAACATGGAGGTTTTTGAAGGAAAGCATTCAAAACTCAGGAAATACCAAATTCTTCTCCCTTGTTAATATTCATGTAGATTCGGTTATTATTATTTTATTACATCGTTAGTTGATTGATTGGTTGGTTGGTTGGTTGGTTTCTTTAACTAACTCATTCAAGGTGAAATTCTGTGTATAGAAGCATAGTTTTATTTTGAAGGCTTAAATTACTTAAATTGTGCATTGCCCTTGTGCTGGTTTTCCACAAGTGCCTAAATGTGTATTTACATCAGTGCAGAGGATACATGGCATTCAGTAAATATGGGAGCTGTTTAATATTTATGTTTATTATTTTGCCAGTTACTCTCTGCCTTACCTGCAGATTATTATTCTACACAGAGTGAAGCCGATTTTTTCTGGACTTCTTCCTCATTCACTTCACAACCTTTTAAACTGGAGAAGAAACCAATCTAATTATTTAATTAATGACTGCATTTTAATGAATATGCATAAATGAGCACAGTTATCGATGTGTTAGAAACCTGAATGTTGGCATTTCCCGACTTCTGAGTGCTTCCTTTTGCAATCTTAGTGTTCTTCAACATTGTTTTTAATGGAATTTCCTACGTTTTTCAAAAATAAAATTGACAAAAACAAATAACTTCCATTCTATTTTTAGGCAGAAATGAAATGCCTTGGCCTGTACAATATGTGCACCCTCTAAAACTAGGGCTTATCTGGAGTCCTGCCTCACACAATACATAGATTAACAGAACATACATAATGGGGTATGGCTATACCCCCATTACATACATAGCTTCAGATTTCACGTGGGAATATGTAGGGCTCCTTTACAGCCCGATCTTTATCGGCACACACTTTCGCAGACCACATTACATAAACACTTGCATATTAAATGTTAAATTCTTCTTAACTTTCTTACACATGCACGTAGGGAGCCAGTAGAACATAAGTGATACCGGATACTAAAATAGAATGGATCAGTTACATGCACACATTTACACAATGCGAACGGAACATCGGGAGATCATTAGAAAGAAAACAGCAACCAGTGCATACGGTCAAAGTACGTTTCCCAACCCTTTTTAAAGTCAGCAAATCTCAAACCATTTCAACAGATCACTGAAAAGCATATATGCCCCCCTTTAAATTTAAAGTTTTTACAGACCACTTATTTAGGCACTAGAGCTGTTTTCAGAAATGTTACATATTTAAGGGAAATAATACATTTTACTCTGTTTTTACGTAAAAACAATTAATCCGTTGTAACCATCTCTCAAAAGCTGCTCTCTACTTTGACTAAACCTGGAATTTAAACTAAAAAGATAAAAGTTTGAGCAGGTTATAAGCAACTGGAAAAGGCCATTCAGAACGCAAATGTTTAGGCAACTTAACTACAGGTGTTTGTAAATACTTCGCTGTATATATATATAATAATTTTAGGCAATATCAGTAAAATAGTGGTAAAATATAGCACAATCTGAAGAATAGTTTTGGTCTTGGGCTATGTTACTAGAACCAGAGGCTAAGGCGATATATACACCTATTTTATATGACACCATTTTAAAAAATTGATATTATTTGAGACAGTGACTATCTCTTTCTTTCCCTTTTGCATTTTTGTATGCACTATAATGTGTATGTGCGATTTGTTTTGCTTTACATTTGTCTATTAGAAGCTTGGGATGTACAAAGAAGGCGGGAACAGACCCATTTAATGCTCAAATAATTCAGCACATTAGAACGGCTTCCCCATGTTGAAGGTATTGGCACCAACTTTCATCCATTCTTGGTGACAGGAAAGACAGGCCAGCTGATCGACTCCTCTTCCTAGCAGGAGAACACCCGAGAAGACTGATAACTCCGCTCTCCCAATGGAAGAAGTTTGTACAGCTGTCTGTCTCCTCCTGGTGGATAGTTAGGGTATATATAGTCACTATGTCAGTAATTTTTTTTCGGTTCTTTCAGTCACATGCCAATAAAGTTATCACAAATACAGGATTATCTTCCAATGTATACCATGCTTACTAACGGCACAAATTAAATCAGTCAGATTGTGTATCGCAAAAATGGTCGAAGTCGCAGCTGGCTAGCTACACACCACCCAAAAAATGTTCCCTGCATCCAAAGGGAAAAAATAACAGGATAAATATATTAAGATGTTCTCTTTACTATTTTTTATTTATTTTCTTATGTAGTATGTTTTCCTCTTTGTAATTCTGTTCCATTTACTAGGGAAAACGGGATACATTCTGTAACTATTTCTTCCTAAAACAATTCTTAGTTCTCTGAGCACAGGATCTCTCACTCTTAGTAGTTACTTGTTGACTTTCTGTGGAAATGGAGGTATAAAAATAAGTCACCGTAATTCTTTTTTAAAGGTTATAAAACCACTGCATTATTTTCCATGTTCCAGAATCCATTACTATTGAAAAAGAAACCGAAATGGAATCTGAAAACCAAAAACTGGAAATGACTCATAAAAAGGAAGTACTTATATGGGTTATAATGCATCACAAATCTAAATAACCATTGTTAATTTTTAAATAAAATCCAAAAGAAGCAGTTAATCATAATGAACGGTATTTTGTAAGATTCTCGAAGATACACACTCATTCAGTTATTTACTTGTGCATTATCAGGAAAAGGAGAACTTCCAAGTAATAAAATCAATTTACAAGCTGATAACATAGTGGTAAACAAAAAATTGATCTATTATAAAATCTGTAATAAATAACATAAAATAGGACTGTCAAGAGATTTTAAAAATTAATTGTGATTAATTGCACTGTTAAATAATAATAGAATACAATTTATTTAAATATTTTGAGTGTTTTCTACATTTTCAAATATATTGATTTCAATTAAAACACAGAATACAAAGTGTACAGGGCTCACTTTATTTTTTTTATTACAAATACTTGCACTGTAAAAAAAACAAAAGAAATAGTATTTTTCAATTCACCTAATACAAGTACTGTAGTGTAATCTCTTTATCGTGAAAGTTAAACCTACAAATTTAGAATTATGTACAAAAAAACTGCATTCAAAAATAAAACAATGTAAAATTTTAGAGCATGCAAGTCCACTCAGTCCTACTTCTTGTTCAGCGAATCACTCAGACAAACAAGTTTGTTTACATTTTCAGGGAATAATGCTACCCTCTTCTTATTTACAATGTCACCTGAAAGTGAGACCAGTCATTCGCATGGCACTGTTGTAGCCGGTGTCGCAAGATATTTACATGCCAGATGCACTAAAGATTCACATGTCTCCACCTTCAACCACCATTCCAGAAGACATGCATCCATGATAATAATGGGTTCTGCTTGATAACAATCCAAAGCAGTGCAGACCAATGCATGTTCATTCGCTCGGTGTCCGGGCTGTTTGTGATGGTGATTGTCGTGTATGTTGGCCTGAGATGCCACCCATAGAAGGTTGATTTTCTTTTTTGGTGGTTCAGGTTTCTGTAGTTTCCGCATCAGAGTGTTGCTCTTTTAAGACTTTTGAAAGCATGCTCCACACCTCATCCCTCTCAGATTTTGGAAGGCACTTCAGATTCTTAAACCTTGGGTCGAGTGCTGTAACTTTCTTGAGAAATCTCACAGTGGTACCTTCTTTGAGTTTTGTCAAATCTGCAGTGAAAGTGTTCTTAAAATGAACTACATGTGCTGGGTCATCATCCAAGACTGCTATACCATGAAATGTATGGCAGAATGCACGTAAAACAGAGCAGGGGACATACAATTCTCCCCCAAGGAGTTCAGTCACAAATTTAATTAATGCATTATTTTTTAATGGGCGTCATCAGCATGGAAGCATGTCCTCTGGAATGGTGGCTGAAGCATAAAGGGGCATATGAATGTTTAGCACATCCGGCACATAAAATACCTTGCAATGCCAGCTACAAAAATGCCATGCAAATGCCTGTTCTCACTTTCTGGTGACATTATAAATAAGAAGAGGGCAGCATTGTTTCCTGTAAATGTAAACAAGCTTTTTTGTCTTAATGATTGGCTGAACAAGAAGTAGGACTGAGTGGACTTGTAGGCTCTGAAGTTTTACATTGTTTTGTTTTTCAGTACAGTTATGTAACAAAAAAATCTATATTTGTAAGTTACACTTTCACAACAAATATTGCACTTCAGTATTTGTATGAGGTGAACTGAAAAATACTATTTGTTTTGGTTATCATTTTTACAGTGCAAACATTTGTAATAAAAAATAATATACACTTTGATTTAAATTACAACACAGAAAACAATACAATGAAAATGTAGAAAACATCCAAAATATTTAACAAATTTCAATTGGTATTCTGTTGTTTAACAGTGCGATTAATTTTTTTTTTAGTTAATCACATGAGTTAACTGCGATTAATCAATATTAAAAGCATATACATTTCTGGTAATAGGTACACCCAGGTATTCCTCACTAAGATGTTTCTACTGGTTTATCCTGAAAGCCATAAAGAATACTTTAGAAACAGAAAATTTTAAAATATGGGTATATAATTACATTCATTTGGGTGCTTCCCTAGATTCTCTGGAATCTTGTAAGAGATTTCATACTAACGTGCTTTAGGTTGATGGTCTAGGAAAGAATAGCAAAAAAAAATTCAAAAAACTTTGTAAATCACTTCTGAACTGCATTTAAAAGAGAACAAATAACATGTAATAAGCAGGAGAGGAAATGATAAAGGACAAATGGAATCACCAAATTTCGGAGGAGATCCAAGGAAAGGAAAGATGATTTTCTAGGCAAGAAGCAAGACTGGCAACCATGAATTCTACACTGTGTTTCTGTATCTGTTGCAAACCTTCTGTAACTGTGGACAAGTCACTTCACTGCTCTGGGTCTCAGTTTCCCCACAGAAGGAAGGGGATAATAATAAAGCATTACATTTTAACTCATCCTAATGCTTTAACATGTTTTGGCTTCTTCAGGTGGAACGTATTAAACCATTCCAAAGTATTGTTCTTTACGGTGTCGTCATCATCAATGGAAACTATCAGTCAAGAAGCATATAAAGAGCCATCTCTAATAACAAAAAATATAAGGAAGTAATTCTTAGAGGAATACTCCCCAGGCAAAGAACACGGATGCTACCATCAGATCATGGCTATTTATTTCTTCTTCTGAAAAAATATAGTGTTTCTCATGGAATTAACAGCGCAGATTGTGCTACTAAAAAAAGAGCAAACGAGAGCCAATACAATGGCAAATTTACATGCATAATATTATATGCATGTAAATTTGGCTTTTATCCATTCTAACTGACATATTTCGAATTTCATTCGAATGCAACTAAAAAACACTTATGTTTAAAAAACTGTATCCGAAGTACCCACCCAAAAGCAACAAACAGAAAGTTGGATCGCTAAAAAGATTCATTATTCGTCATTCAAACATGCATTTTACAAAAATACAAATTAATTAGAGAATCACTACTAACTACTTTAAAATAATCTTCAGTGAGACACTGGAAACAATGTATTGTAGCGGGAAATATTATTTAACCAACCGTGCCGCATAGATTGGGCGTCTCCTTCTCCCCGTTCTCTGCGGAGTTAGGAAAGTTGGGGCTGAAAACCATCAGGTCATTCTTGGCGGTGCCTTCCCCTACACACAAGTTCCGGCTCTGGCGCTGGGAATAGGACCAACTCCCCACTTCGCTCGAGCACACCACGGTGGCTTTCCCAGGCCCGCACATCACTGCCGGACCCGGGTAGCATCTCAGGCCAACGTACACGACAATCACCAGCACAAACAGCCCGGACACCGAGCAAATGCCGATCATTAAAGACACGTTCATGTCAACCAAGGGCCCTTCGATCCCGCCCCTTT